TATATATATATATATATATATATATATATATATATATATATATATATATATATATATATATATATATATATTACCAAGCATAACAACCATCTCAGACTATATCAAGGTCTTCTTCATCATCCAATTCCTGTTCAATTGATGGTCGTAGCCTTTTCCCCTCTCTCAAAGCGATTCTTCCCCCCTTCTTTGGCTTTCCTCTGGAAACAATAAAGGACAAAGATATCGATCAGCCACATGCACCTTGGAATAGAAAGGTTTAACAAGATTAATCATAAAAGAGTACATCATCTTGAGGATAAGAAGATTCACAAAGAATAAAATCTAGAAATCACTTTTGACATAATTTGCACAAAGTTATGAAGAGGTAGTTCCAGATTAGAAAGCTCTCTTTGACCGCATGAGGGCTATCTAGTTGTGTTCCTCAATGTAGATGATCACTTCCTACCGGACAATAACCCTTGTGGATTTTAAAAGTTAACAGAGATCCCATTGGCATGACATTCTAACACCACAAAAAAAACACCTTGAATCAAGTTCAGGTGAAAAACACACTTGGGATTTCCAGATGTAAATCTTTTACTGAATTCATCCAATCAAAAAGCAAAGAGATAGGAACTCGTTATTCCATCCACAGACTGCCTCCAACACCTCACCGCCATCTATAGGTGCATGGGAATATAATTAAGTGTACTTACTGTCCATTTGCAGGAGTTCCTCCACCCCGTGATCGACCTGGACCATATTCAGACCTTCCCTCTATAAAAAAACACAAAGAGACAAATAAACAGGCCAACTATAGCTTCCTTACTACACAATCATTAGGATAGTCTCAGAAGAAAACTCACCGTCCCGACCAGCAACATGTTCTTCAACCTAAACACATGCACAATGGTTAGATTGCTCATCTCTGCATAACATGTCATGACAATAGTAATTAAGACCAACTACAGCAACAAGTGAGGATTAAAAAAAAGATAATATTGATAGAATTAGGAACTACATACGATGGAAATGTTAAATACAAAAATATTCACATGTGGTTTAGCCCCATCTCACTATTGTATCACCTGACCTGACTGTTTTCTCTTTTTCCATTGTACTCCGCATGCCACAAAAGCAACCCATTGACACCAGTTGTGTTGGTGACTACTGCCAAAGATATGCTGTGGCTTCCTTCTCAGGCACACCAGGTTAGTGCCATGCAGACACCAATACGTTAACAACTAAATGAACCCTCAACTTAATGATGCAGAACTCAAATATCAAGTATTTCATCATGATCGTAAACTTTAACACGAGGCAAGCTGCCAATTGTATTCCATAAGGCAAAGTGGGAAAAAAAAATCAGAAGAGGAAGATAAAGTTAAATCAGCATATTGTAACAAGTAGGTCTTCTTTAATAAATTCACAGATTGAAGTCACAAAGATGTGAAAAAACATATTTACCTTTGTAGCTTATATAAGAACAGCAAATGGAATTTTTAGATACAATGTGAAATCAGAGATAATACAAAATATTCCACCTGATATCATTTTCCACTTGTTAAATTTATTTTGACATGCAAAAATAATTGGCATTTGAAGCAGGACCATTTAGCTAATGTTTAGAAAGTTGCAGCAGGTACATACCACTGGGGAGGTAATTGATGACAAGGAGAATAGCCTGTCTTCAGGCTGAAACCTTCTGGAACGCTTCAGGCTGAAAACATAATTTTAAATAATGTTTTTGTTATTATAAGCTGTTACCACCTGAAATGTTATACATCAGAGCTTGTGATAGATAAGTTCTTGAAAATATGAACTCTGAAGAGACCGGTGTGCCAAAACATGCAGATGGATGTTCAAGCAGCATTACTAAATCAAAACAGATACAATTAGCATTAGGAGGTGATCGATCCAGCCGAGATACACTATGCATCACCAAGCAGTATACCAGGTATACATCGGTGCTTAAATCATTGGCCACAAGCATATCAATGATTTAATGCCAATCAAGATGCACATTTTTCAGAGATCACAATCATCATGCAGATAAAGAATTGTGAAAAAGATACTAGTGCTCCTCTCTACCACAAGTAAGACAAAATAAAATAAAATAAAACTTCATGTACAATATTCATGGTATTTCAAGGATTTAATTTGATAAGGGAACAACTCCAGATAAAGCAGTTCATTGAAAAAGTAGTTGCAACATTCAGCGAGACAAAAATTAATGTCTACTCAGCACCTCCATTCACTTCTTGTTATTTAATGGCATGTGCCACTAGGTGGCAATCCTAGAAGTAAGGCAAGTTAATAAAACTTTGTCAAAAGGTATATGGTTGTGCAGACACATTGATAGAAAATGAATATTCAAACAAGTTAAGGAATCTTTATTACATCATTCACAATTGATTATGAGTTTTCTATGAGATATGTGGCATGTATTCCACAAGAAAGTTGAGAATACCAATATTATAGTATGAGTATCACAGACACGTGAACATGATCATCTCTCGAGTTAAAGGATTTCTCTGTAGAATATTCCTTTATGTGTTAGGCCAAATTTCAGTATCCCTTCTTTTTCTTATCTACTGCATGCTCCCAATTATTATATAATGATTTCTTAAATTTCCATACACACAAACTGTAAATGGCATGCCTTGTGTCAACGACATGACTGGGATATTAAAAAAAAGCAATTGGGATATTGGTCAAATATGATGAAGCGGAGACACTTTGAGCTTCCATGTGAAATTAGGCATGGAACAGAACTCTTATGAAGAAGTTTTGGGAGTTACAAGGTAAAAAAAATTCATTTATGGCAACAAATAAACACATGATACTAGTAATCCACGTCACTTTCACTATTGTCCTTATCCATGTGTATAACAAGAAATGCATCAAAGACCTGGCACTGGAATAGCCAACTTTATCAGAAGCTTGGTCTAGAAAATTCAAGAGAATTATATTTTATGATCACATTGGTAAAATCCAGCAAAATCGAGATTATTTTGAGCAGGGTCAACAGGCAACAGGGATGCAGTTGCTGCTAGATGGTTAAGACACATCTTTAAAGGTAAAATAAGGGTGTGATGTTTTTTGTACAATTAGAAATAGAAAAGAGGTACGAGATTGCAAGTTCCAGAGTAACAGAATGAAGATCCATCACTCTTGTGAAGGTATAAGACAACCTACAGTGCATAACCTCAGCAGGATTAAGAAGAGAACTTTAGCATTATTGTTCTACTGGTTGTAGAAAGCAATATTCAATAAATAGAGAAAATAAGAACGGAAGCACAAATTTATACTGCAAATTCAATAAACTTACTTAGAAGTACTCTTTGATGATGACAAGAAACCTTCAAAACCTTTCAGCACACTTCCATTCTGATTTGAGTCTTGTAAATATGTAGTTTCTAGGTCATAGATCTAACAAAGTAGAGCAGAAAATGTGAAGATGCAATTACTAATTCATGTTCAGCCAAATAAACCATATATCAATTGCAATTAATGGGACCAAAATACATGCTTACAAAAAAAAATGTAAATGTGGAATTCTCTCACTTTCTTTTTTTTATTTTAAAGGGAACAGTCAGATCAGCTACAAATTTCCAGATCATGACATCAGGGTAAATAACTATTTTGTCATATGAACAACAGTTGCACAAAAGATATTTAAGTTATTTGTGAAATGTCTTTAACATGGATCATCGTTGCAAAGGAAAAGTAAGGGTTTCACGTGTGGAATAGATGGATGGTGGTGCTTCAAAACAAAGTGTTATTGGTAATATATATTTTTTTATGAACGTGAATGGAAATCTTCAGACTACCAGTGCATGATCCCTAGCAACCCTCTAGCTTCTTCAACAGTTGAAATAGTTTCCTCAAAGTTCCCAGAGCATATGGAAGATATTACACAAATAGTTTGGCTCACCAAGCAAATGGACACTGGTTGCTTCATGCCATGTTCTGAATTGGTCGAGTATGCTATGAAAGTAAAGCAGAAACAAGTTATTCAACAAGAAAGTGGCTGTCAGAGGATCTAAATGAAGAAAAGGAAGGCCTTTAGATTTTTTAATATTATGCAATTCCTCATCGTTTTCGTCAACCAGAAAGATCATATGATATGTTTTCTACCGGCCGGAATTAACAAATCACCATATTAGTTGAGCATACTCAAAGCTTTTAATTGTCATCCCTACCTATGTTGGATGCTTACTTTATTTGCTATCAAGTGCATTTCTCACCCTCCTTAGTACTAAGCGGAAGGTTTCAAATAACCAAAACTTTTAAGTGATTTGGATTTGGCGGGCATATATACTACCATTATCAAATCCGAGGATCAACGCTATCGAATATTTTCTCGTCTATATAGAAAATACCCTCAGCCCAACCATAGAACTTCAAGTAGGGAAAAGGAAGGATACGGGAAGGGGGAAGACAAAGCATTAGAGATTAGGTTGATGATGTGATTCTTAGCAGTACTCGTATCATTGAATAGAAAAGAAGATGAAACATGAAATCCTCCTTCTCAAGGAGTAATTTGTAAAAGGAATATAGATATGTCAATAGCAGGTACAGGTTCTCCTGCAAAATAACATGGAATGTCACCGAAGCCAACATATTAAAATTGACCACGCTCCGTTCATAACCAATTTGACGAACCGAGCAAGCTTTCACAAGTAAAGAACAATCGGACCAAACACAATCATGAAATACTGAAACCTAAGTAGCAAAACTGCGCTAACCAGGGAAAAGATAACAGCTTTTTCATCAAAGAGACATAACAATCAATTCTTTCACGATGAAATCAGAGATGCTAACCTAAAAGAAACATGGGGAAGAGGAAAAAGAAAAAAGAGACAATAGAAAGTAAGACGGGGGACCTACTTGTCTCTCGATGACCCGGAGCTCGTCCTGGAGATTGTCCCTCTTGCTTACCAGCGCTGAAAGCACGGCCGAGGGATTGGAGACCGCCCTTTGCCCCAGTAAACCCATTTTTGAATCCCGCGCCACAATAAGATCAGGATCGGGAGGGTCGTGGACTCGAACAAGACGGGATATCAAACAAAGAATTCGCAGAACCAAAGAACGACGACTCGTGAATTTTTGGCGGAAGGCGATTCGATCGGGTTTCCTCTTTCTACTCTGACAATTTTAGTAGTGTTTCACGGTACGAATTCCGAACTTTCCCCAAATCCGAAGGTAAATTTCAGGGACTGGTCTCGGAGCCGTAGTTCTTATGGTTTCCTTTTCCCTATTCCTCGTTCCTCCGAGATGTGTCTTCAAAATTCGGAAACGCTTGATGATCCATCACAAGAGGGCCTCCCGAACGACCTGCGAGCGATGAGCACACGTAATCATACCACCGGTACGCGGTATCCGCGGGTGACCGCATAGAAGCCTTTCATCGCGGAACAACGACAACAGGTGAGACGCCTATTGATTTCAATCAAATTCCAATCATAATACTTAATTTTTGGAACCTAAATACTTTGCAAACTTGATTATTTGTGTAGTGGGACTCACTATTCTCCGAATCAAGGATAGTTCGACCACTATCGATGCAATAGATTCCATCTTAGGTCCACATCGGTGTTGGTGTCCACATTAGACTCGGATTCCTATGGCTTTTTCTTCTGTGAAACCATTCTAGACGAGTTACGATAAACCCGGATATCTCCGCTGTCGGCTGAGCGATCGCAAGATTCGACTCATTTTAACTCGGACAGGATTCAAAGCGCTCGCATGTGTAGTTGTGGTGTCACAGCTCTTTGGTTGGATCATTGGTGGGTGTCGTTAAAGGCCTGGTGAGAATGCGTCGCTTTGCAGGGTCGTCCTCGCATCCACGGGATCTCTACTGCTCACGGTCAAACAGAAGAGCTGCCATGCATGTACGAAAAGACACACACGGGCACCGCGATGATGTGTTGTCGATCACACCTGATGGAAATGCACATGCAGTGATTGCACGAAGGCATCTGGAAAGAGAGAGACTTTCCTCTGCGATTAATTTCGAACCTTTCCCTGCCTCGCAAATAGGTCGGGGTTATTAGATATGATCAGGGAGACAACACCATGTGTTACACTACATTGCAGATTTAACCCTGTGGTGAAGAAAAACGATGTAAATTTCTCGAAACCATCCATCATCTACTGCAGAGTTTAGATGTCAACAGAGGATGAGCAGCACCTAGATAGTGGTGGTTCGGGAAAAAGGCTGGGGAAGAGGAGAAGAAACATACTAATATGAAGAAACAAAGAGAAAGACCAGTGAGACAGGGTATCCGTGCGGTAGGAGTTTCCCTCGATGTTGCTTGTTGATCTCCGAAGAAGAACGGCGGCCTTCCTACTTTTTAATGCAGGTTATGATCCTACTTTGGAATCACTGCTTCACTGGAGCTTCAAGCACCTTAGCCTGCAAGAAATTATTGTATAGCGATCATCAAAAGAATGGCACCATACAATGTGATATGTTTTAGCGCGACAGAACGAATAAAGCGTTGGGAGAGATTGTACTATCGATAAGAAAGAACTACTTTAAAAAGCTAGTGTCAGCCATAATGTTGGGTAAACCATACATGGCTTCTGTGCTGGCCGGTGGCTGGAGAGCGCACGTCGGAGGTGGCATATCAGGATCAGATCTCATGTGAGTTAAGAGACACAAAAGTTCTCGTCATATAAAAACAGGAAGATCAGATGGTGGTAACTCATCATGCATGACGCAAATCAGAGAGCATATATGAAGAAGAAGAAGAAGAAGAAATGAGTCATCAACTGGACGAGGAAAAAGAGGGATCGAACAGAATGCAGCGAGCGAAAGAAGAGATCTCTTGCAATCTACAAGTAAAGAAACACGAAACCTCGTGTTAGGTTTGTCTCATTTCAAATTATAGCCACTGAACATTTTGAGAGAAAAGAAGAATCAGAGAGAGGAGAAGAAGACGGATCGGTGAACAGTCCAAGGAGATCGAGAGAAGGGAACTCTCGACAAGGTCCTCAAACGTCGAGCTGCCTTGTAATTGCGAGGATTTCGACCCCGGAAAATGAAGAGACAGAAAACAGGAAACCGAAGAAGATACGATCGGAGAACGGCGGTGGAAAGCGGAAGGTAGATCTACCTCTGCTCCTCATCAGCGCCGCCGGCCCTGCTGCTGGAGGACTTGTAATATGGGTATGGCACCCGGTTCGACTCGATGAACTTGAGGTCCTCGACCAGGAGCTCGTAGTGTCGCTTGACCTCGTCCACGGTCTTCCCTCCCACGGCTCGTGCCACATTCTGCCAGCGATCCGGGGTGTCCTTGTCGTACACGGCGAGCGCCCGCTCGAAGAGCTTGTTCTGCTGCGCCGTCCACGAGGAGCCCGAGCTACGTGAGAGCGATCCCGAAGCCATTCTCCTGCACAAAGGAGAGGGGAGTCGAATGCTAGAATAACAAAAAGGGGAGGGAAGATGGGCTTATAGAGGCTGCGATCGCCGAAGGTGTGAGGGAGAAGTAGCCTTATAAGCAGAAGAGCAGCAGTTCTGAGGCAGAAGGGAGACAACGGCAGAATCGTACTAGGGAAAAGAGAAGATAGAATACCAGATGCATGACTAGTTTGCACGAGAGCCACATGACAAAGCAGAGATGGTGACATGGAGTACCGGGGAACCATCATCGACCGAGTCTTGGGAGGGCCCCTCCTTTTGTGACTTCATGTCCCAAGCTTTCGACCCCTTTTACACGATAAAGCTTCGAGAGTCTCCTTCATCGGTCGATGAACTGTGAAAAGAATGCACCACCGTGCATGTCTTTGTATTCATCGGTCCTGTGTCCATAATAAACGAATGAATACCATGTTTGCTGTGCTGTAATACAAGTGTATCCACACACTGCTCGGATTAAGGGTGCCGTCGTGTACTCGAAGAAACGAAGATGGGCGAGTCCCTTTCAGAGATGGCGATCCTACTCGCTTTCCCGAGGGTCACGGACCTGATTGAGTTGCCCTGTCGACGATACTTAGGCAGACCTACCGGGATCACTATCTCGAGACATTTCTACGGAGGTTGACTGTGACATCTCTGACAAGCTTAAAAAACGTGTTACTTGGACCTTTAACAGACCCCCGGAAAGTCTAAACAGCTCTTCCCGAGTCAGAAATAATTTGATGGAATGGCAGTTGTTCCCCTTGTAAGGAAGGACATGTACTGCTCTCACCAATGTTTCGATTACCAGCTGAATTGATTTATACTCTTGTTCATTTGATCTTCTCCTTCTCGTGAAATGATGGATAGCTTCTTTTGTTTGAGGTTAAAAGGAGGTGAAGTAGGTTTAATCAGCAGGCTGGGTGGTCAAAGAAGTCGCATTCTTCTTCTAAAGAAAGGATAATGACATCCGAAGATCTTGTCCGCTTAGTATCGATTTCTTTTCTGCCGGGTTGCAGTTGGAAGAGTGAGAGGATGATTGCCTGATTGTGTACGCGTCGATATGTTCCATGCTGCGAGCCAAATGCTACCAACTGGCATATGTACTACTTTGAACTGGATCTCACCGCAAGCCTAGTGTTGCCCAGCTGTTTGGCTTCTTTCTTCCGCTCAAGATGGCACCATCAGCGAAGATCAATAATACTGTGTCACATGCATATCGACAGCTTTAATCATCTGAGCTTGAGTTTTAATTCGTTTAACGACAGTTCTTTTCTTGAGGAGGAGGAGGAGGAGGAGGAGGACGGTGATCTAATGATTCCACTGCAGAATTTTATGAACTTGTCTGTTGTCGATGATAAGATTTAGATCGATTGGGACCTCACATGACCTCCATTCGCATTTATGAGCTCGAGTAGCTGGCCGAACTCGGCTACATTTCCTCGTACTATGCACCTTCCACAACTCAACTTTGATGTGTACATATACATGTCATCCATAAGCGGCGGGCGACAGTTTTCCATGGCTTCGGGCGGCCCATATGCGCCCCATCCGACCTAAATCACAAATCGATCGAGTCCCTACCCGTAACGCAGCCAAGCGAGAAGGTAGTGGAGAAGGGAGGCATTGCCGCCGCCAAGAGGGCCGCCTCCTCGGCCAGGAGGGTGTCCTGCTCTGCTGCCGCTGCCGCTGCCTTCGTAGGAGTTGTTTTCTCCCTCGAGGGTATTACTGCTTTTCTCTTCTCCTCCTCTTTCCTCGTGAGAAATGCAACTATCGGAATGCACTTGCTCAAATGCATTTGTTATATATGACCTGCATCATTATTTATAGACGATTTGGTTGCATGCGGTTTTGCGGGCAGGCATTGTAAACTTAGTCTCTAACATGCAAAAAATCGCATTTTGAAAAGGCAGTAAGGCATTTCGAGTTTACATGCAATTTATACAACTTACATTTGCAAATGTGGATGCAACAATGTTTTCATGTGAAAGGTATCAGATGCAATCAAACGCACCCTTGGTCGACTCTTCTTTCTATTACCAATCGATCCATTCAGTGTGGTCCGCCAATTAAAAATTAAATGATAAAAATATATCTATAAACTCATGAACGAGATCATTTATAAGTTCAAAAATAGTCGGTATATCCACTTGTCAGTAGATTATTCTATAAACTCATAATTAGATGTATAAAATAATGATAAGATATGTAGATGTATATGGTTATTCATAATCACTGTAAGAACAATTTTGAACAAACTTTTACTTAATACATGTGTTTATTTTTATCAATATATGTTCGCTAGCTCGGTTGGTAAAAGTCTAAAGGGTATCTAGTTTGAGTGGAACTTCAGCCGACCTAAGTTGAGCTTGAGTTTACAAAAAAAAGTATGATGAACCGAGTTCGAAGATTAAACTCGACGCGGCTTGAGCTCTCATTAAAATAAGTTGAGCGGAGTTTGAGCACAATAAAGTGTGCCTTGAAAAGCTCAGCTCGGCTGGCTCTGTTACGACCTTGTATTTTGGTTCCTATGCAAGGAAAAATATATTCTTCTCAATAGCAAGATCTTGGCAATATCTTCTGTGTGGTAACAGTTGTTTTCTAAACACCTAGCAAGAACTCTCGATATGGTCTTCTTTTACATATTTACTAAACTTCACTTATTGCTGAGCATGCTGCACTAATTTGCTAAACTCTGTGATTGTGGTATACCTTGGTGGAACATCATGCTCGTCTGCCTGTGATTCTGTATATGTGTATTCTATTACTGAATATGAATTTACTCATGATAAGAGATCTTTTTAATAGATTCTCCTGTTTTGTATTTGTTTGGAATCATGTACTCATCACGTATTTGCTTCAGTGAGTGAGTAGAATGATGGAAGCATACTTTTGTAACTTAGTTTTGTAATGCAAGAATCAACTCCTTTAGTAGATTCTTATAATTTGTTAGATGTTTTATATCTGACATCGCATATGTACCAGTAATTAAATCATTCATAACTGGTACCTTAATACTCTCTACAGAAAGAAACATATGATCACTGATTGTTTGGGAGAAAAAGAAAAGGCTATTAACTATTGTAATTGTAGTATGATCGTAATTAGTGTGGATGAACGTAAATCTTGCTTTCAAGTTTGAAATTCTAGTGATGTTAATTGCTACTAGAGAATATTCTGAACATGATCTCTTGGGATAAAAATGAACAATATCATGCAGTACAATTAGAATGGTGATATTTGGCACATCTTAGTAACTTGATGTAGATCAAATCTTATTTCTAGCTCTAAAACCATGATGGTAGTAGTCTTTTCTCTTTTTCCCCATTGTTTTCTTATTAAGCCATCAATCCTTCATCTCTTGTTTTCCCATTTTTGGTCTGTCAAACTCTCCCTTATGAGGAGAGCTTTCTTAAAGAAGACATATGGTGCTAATTCATGACAGGGTTTGGTATGATCGCTTGCACTTTACCCTAGAGGATTCTATGAAGCTCTTGACATTATTTAAGATGCTGAGAACATGCGTGACTAGAGAGACCTGTGGAGCTAAGGTCAGTTATAGTTACTTAGAAGAAGACTTGTGGTGTTTAATTGTCATATTCTAATTTTTATTCGTCCAGAATCAGAATTGATCCATATTAGTGGTAAAATAAATGAATATATATATATATATATATATATATATATATATATATATATATATATATATATATATCATGACCACCAAATATTGAACTAGTATGTTTAACTAATACTGCATATCTTCTTTGATGTTGCATAATGTTTTCCACTTTCTCATATTGTTTCTCCATCAAAGAAGATATGCAGTATTAGTTAAACATACTAGTTCAATATTTGGTGATAAATGTCATGATAAATATCTGATTCATTTTTTCTATAGCATATCTTACCTCGTTTTGCCAAACTGAACCGATACTTAGATTTTGATGCTATTAGTTGCTTTCCTATATTGCCATGTTATCTGGGTTTGATTCTCATCTAATATCAAACCTGGAACCCTTAGCTAGTACTGACTTTGCTTTCAGATGTTCTCATGTTCCCATGTTACCCAGGACAAAGACATAAACATGGTTTTATTTCATCTTTGTTATACAACTTATTGCTACCACTTCTTTTAAACCATAATTAAAATGGGATCTACACTCAGGAAATAGTTTCTCTTTGCAAGTGGTTTGACATGGTCTAATTACATCAGACCTAAAACCAAAACTTATGCAAAGGTGATGAACTAAGATTTTTCTGAATGAGATCATTGGTCTCATGATGATGTTTCTTGTTCTCCGTAGCATCCATAACCTCACAAGCTCAAGTTTAGCCATAAATAATGCTTGATTTAAAAGCTGATACAAACTGGAACCTACCAGACCTTAGCACCTGAATCCAGACTACACATGTTGGCTCCCTTCATAAGCATATTAACTTCTCCAGAAACCTGTACTACCAAATCCATGCAACTTGCTAGAATCACCATTTTATCCTCACCATCTTTACAGTTGTATGAGTTCTTGGAGATGAAGGGCCCGGGCATACTGTGCGAGAAGACACTGATATGGACCAGGGCAGTTATAGCCAACAAACGCATTACGAACCACAATAATGGCTTCCCATGATTGTTGAGCTTGGTAATTGGTAGGATCGCAGCCTTAGAACCATCCATATCCTTTCCATTGCAGCTCCACTGTTAGCTTTTACAACCAGATTTTGGTGTATACAAGCAGAAGTTTGTATCAAGTTTCAGCTTTGACCCTAGAGAATGGCAAAACTTAATGTTGTGATGTGATTATAGACTAGAATATGATTACACTTTGGTTCAGCACATATGGGTTCTACTGAAAGCACAAACTTTCCGCATGTTGGACTCATGTCAACATGGAAACTCACGTCGATATCTTAAAGATAATCCTCTTCTTTTTCATTACGGAAAAAAGAATTTATTTAGTCAGTAAAGTACTCCGTACAACAGATCTGCATAATACTCTGATAAGAAGATAATGAAATTTCAAAAACAAATCCATTCTACTAAGGAAACAGGACTAGAGAGATCAAAGTTGACTGATAAGACTATCTGGATTTTTTGAAGTTTTCTCCTCCACTCTGTAATTTTGGATTGCTAGGATAAGGCCAATCTGGACACCAACCAGAGCTGAAATTTTTCACCACCACAGTCAAAGTGCAGTACTGATCCACTGCAGCAGTTCCCATTAATGTCCAACAACTAAGAGACTTGTTTGAATTGTAAAATTTGTTTTCTGAAGCTATGTGCCTTTAAAGCATACATATTTACTGAATAAGGAAATTGGAGTTTGGTTAGCTAGGGGGAATTGATGAGAGCTGAAATTATTGATCATGGTGTTCTAGGGATTTTCCAAGAATTTTGTCTTGTTTACATGAAACATTCATCTTATTCTCACATCCGTGTATTACGGTTGGATAATCTCTTTGTTCTTCATTAATAAAAGAAAATCTGCCTTTAATTTCTTTTTAGAGATAGATCACCAGATAAGCCAAAACATATTGGTGCATCTCCATCTACCATAGAAACTGGTCTCATTCATAAAGAACTCTTCTGGTCCACTGTTATTCTGACCAAAAGCTATGCCTATACACAAAACTCAGCACACAATGTGCTTGTCAATCAACCGGGTTATAATATCATTGAAGCATTTGGAGCTGGTAACACGATCATTGTGAAGTCTCAAATAAATGGAGAAGATATCATCCATTGGAATGAGATGTAAGAAGATCCTTGAGATCAGGGTCAGACTGTGACGGTAAGGGTGGATAGAAGTTGGTTGAGTGGTGGGTTACAGGATGGCCTCCATGGCCAAAAGGACCGGAGACAAAACCACATGGAAGTGGGTAGGAGAGACCTCCCAACAATCTCAGGTCTCTCCACTGCCAACTTGGTCTCCTATGCTGCTTTACACCCAAAGTTCTTGATCCCTATCCATTAAGATACCCTGATCAACCTAGTCAGTTTAACTTGTTTAAGCAAGAGATGAATGACAGGAATTCCTCCGTGCTGTGCTTGAAAATAGCTCTGACCTGGTGGACTGATGGATCACAGTCTTCCTACAGAAATTAATGGAATATTTTCAGAAGATATTCTTAACTATGTCTTTTTTTGGAGCTAGATTGTCATTTTTACTTGGTATAGCAGTCTCGAATCAGTTCAAGGCTTAATCTACAGTTGCTCTGTCTTGCTTCTTTCATCCTCTTTGCTTATATGGAACGATGTTAGAGATTAAGAAACATTCCTCCACAATGTATGCGTTTTTTTTTTCCTTCATCTACTGATTCGTTTGTGTGAGGTGGTGTCGAAGTAGCACTTACAACAACATCTTGCGGTATGTTTCTAGATATGGTTTTCATTGCTTAACTTTGCAGATATGCATAGATCCTCATCTGGTCCAGTTCCTCGTGGCAAAGACAAGTAGAAGACAAAGGAGTCCCCACAAACATGCGGCACCACTCACCAAGGCGAACTGATAGGATCAGCCTGCGTGAGATAAAGAGGGAGGATGATGCACTGCTGTTTATGGAGTAGGGACGAAGCGAAAAAATGAGCATTTTTATGCCAAGACGAACGACCTCCATGGTGGGGTTTCGGCGTTTGAGGCACCTTACTGCCACATTCTGCTGTCCTTGACCTGGTCCTGAGCCCCCTAAGAGATGGCGACCCTCGAACCCTTACCCTCCATAGAAAGCCATGGACCAACCTCGCCCTCCTAATCTCCTCTGTAAATTATTCCTATCAGGTGCCCTCCATTGTGGTATTGGGCATCTCACTCGGACAGCTGCTGTGGTGGTAACAAATACTTTTTGGACACCCTTGTGTGTAAAGAGATAGATGCCTCTGAGGTTTCGCTTTGTATTATTGAGGAAAAGATAGGTCCACCGGGGAAAATATATGAGGGAGGAAAAGCGAGATCAAAATTCAGATGAAATGTTGCTGTCTGAGATCCATGTTCCAGATGACGAGAGAATCGCCAGTGGTGTATGTTTTGTTGGTCAGCCATCAGTAAACAGTAGGCAACAGATGCATCGCTACGTATGTGGTCCTTTGAGGATCTAACATATCTCGCTTCCCCGATCACTGTTCCCCCTCGATGTTTAAGCTTCACGTTGTCTATGATTTCCTGGTGGGGGATCGATCAGCTTTGTGGGACTTGGTTCTCGAATCTTTTCACTCATCTTCTTCCTGCAGTGCTGGCTGCAACACTAAACATGTTCATAAATCGAATCCTGCACTGCACTGTATCGTATTGCCGAATCCTGGCAGTGACGACTGGCCCAAAGTCACCGGGAATAAATGTTTCTTTTTCCTCTCCATAAATTAGAAAGAAGATGCCATGTCGTGATTTGTACTATATGTTTCATTATCTCTACAGATACATAAAGAGTCGAGGGAGGAGAATACGGACTCGCTAGAAACTTGTGTGCCAGATTGTTTGCCGAGTCAATGACATGCCACCGAGTCACCGAGTCGGACAGGGCATTTACGAAGAAAAGGGACCACTCACTGTACTCGCGAGACTCGGCACGCATCCACTGGTACGCATTAATGCTTAATTCGATGCATCCAACGATCACTTAAATGTGACTTTGACTCTCTCCTAAGCGTTGACTTCTGTCAGCCTCTCCCCGTCCTTCATATAGAACTCAACATTTATTGACACGAGGCGAGGAGAAGAGCCCCAAAAGAAAATAGTCAAGCTACCTAAATCTATTGAGACCATTGATTTCACCACCCAGGTAAGGTGAATCCAATGACCTTTAACTAGCGATTTAAGATGAGAGCGCGAGTGATAGTGAGGAGCAATAAAGAGATGGAAGGGCCTGCATGAATGTAGGCGGATAGCACGCGTCCGCTTCTGGTGCTATCTGTCTGTAACCCTCACCGCCTTATCCTGTCTTGGTACCGGAGGTCTCTGCATTAGAAAAATGTAATGCTTCTCCTCTGATCTGATCTGTTCTTTTCCTTTTATTTTGACTGGAATTATCTACTCTAAGTAGATGGACTGTAATTGTTCGTGTAAAAAAGATTCGGCGTGACTCTTGGATTCCAAATCCAGTCAATGGAGCATATGGTAATTTCATAACAGAGTTCTATGCTAGAATTCACCTCTGCGTGGCTGGAGCTTATACGTCGAGAAAGCATCACTACAAATGGAATGTATTGATATGCTGAGCGTGAAACAGTGTCATTTTCCTTTGCACCACCACACGCTGGTGTTTTATTGCGAGACGAGAGCTGACGAGCGAGGGATGTGTCCGCGAATCAATCAGATACCGAGATGTCATCCTGAAGGCAACAGCCAAAAATTCTCGAGCCAGACATTGGCAACCGAGCCGTGCTCCTCCGAGAGGATGCTGCTTTACGCATCGGTGCCACATGCAGCGGCATGGCGTTCACTGTCAGCTTTCTCCCACCCAACCTTGACCGTCCAACTAAAGCATCGCGGAAGACAAAGATCAAAGTTCAATTCTTTTATGGGGGGTTCAATGGATCTATCCCATTGCGGATAGATAGATAAGTAGAGAGAACCAGGGGAGATAGATAAGATGCGGATAGATACGATAACAGATATATATATATATATATATATATATATATATATATATATATATATATATATATATATATATAGAGAGAGAGAGAGAGAGAGAGAGAGAGAGAGAGAGAGAGAGAGAGGAGGAGGGGGATATCACATTTATGGGTTAGAGAAGAATAGCAACGCACGACTTAGTGGAGCTACAAGGTGGTATATCCGAGCACTCAGAAAAAATGCAGTTGGCGATAGCGTCAATGCTTAGGTAAATTTATCGGTGATGATTCCCGGGGTGGGCGGATCTCCATGGTGCAGAAAGAATGAGACGACACGCCACTTATAATCCTATCATTGGACGGTCGACCTGGTTAAGAGGGAAGGTAACTCGAGATTGGACGATGGTGTTACTGCACGGCAGTACTAAGCTAAACACGTACTCTTCACGTCCGTGTCAAACGTATCTCTCGGGTGCTCTGTGTGCTGAAAAGACGGACACACGCTAGCGACTGTACACGGTGAGACCTCCATGCGGAATCAGGTGAGCCTCTGCAAGTTGGGTTCCCATCTTGAAATGAACAATTCAACGAGGAAGACACCGTAAACAGCGGCCAAGTACCCACTTGCCTTCATAATGCCACAGTGCCATTCCTAGCGACACCCCATTCTAATCATCTAAACCAGCTGCATTCCTCTGAATCCTTCTTGGGAGCGGAGCGTCCATGCGACGGACGTAGGGCGCTCTTCTCACGTTGCATCGGCCGGCCGGCGGAAGTGGCGGAACGATTGGACGCGTTAGCGCCACGAGGGACGAGGCCATGTGTATGCCTTTCGTGGCCCCCCCTCGCTACTTCCGGCTTGGATTTACGGGACACGACCACGTGTCGGTCATGTCAGGGTGGGCCCCTACCCCCCTCATGGTCATGGAGGGTGGAACAGAGGCTATCTCGTTCCGTGCTGCGCACTGGCAACAACTGGCCTCCTCCTCTCATACGCATCGTTTCATCTCTGTTCACTCCCTCCTTGAGGTCATCTGATCCATTGATTGCTGTATATATAGGGTCCTCAGCCTACGGGAGCAGAGTCAGAGTGATGCGAAGGAGTTCGGCGACGCCGGCCCCCTGAAGACCTTAGAAGGATCATGCAGTGCCTGCGAACTCCTCTTTCGGATCTCTCCGTGTTGGAGAGGCAGAGAACGCGTGCGGAGTGGCAGCAACAGGGGCAAGAGCAGTCGGATTACCATCCCTACGATGCCGATTTCTGCATGCAAAATCTCCTTCCCGTGGAGACCTCCTTCCGGGCGCTCCACAGCTGCAGCGGCGGGGGGGCGAACGAGAATCACGGCAACGTTCATGGATCGAATGACTGCTTCAGCAACGCGTGGCCGGATATAGTTTCGAGTATGCATTGTCCTGTTGTCGGTGCCGCTGCTAGTGTCGAGGAAACGAGCGTCAATGCGAGCAGCAGCAGCAGCTCGAGGAAGAGAAAGTCCGAGAATACTCGGAGATCGAAGGTAAATCATCCATTTTTGGCTTCTCTATCTACATATTCTCTCCTCGTAAGTCGAAAGATTTTATCACAATTGTTCCTAAATTCAAGAACCACTTGAGCTCTGCCGTCAAAAGTCACAGAGGCACAGCTTTGTGATCCTGATTTCCAGACATTATCTGTTCTACATGTGTCCTGGGATCGTAGATGGAAAAGAAAACCATGAATTTTGAATACCAGAAAGAAAACTATTGCTTGTACATCCTTCTACTATGTTCCAAGATGTCTATCGGCTAAAAGTTGTCAAAACTGTAGGAGAATAGTGGTGGTAGTGATGGCAAAGATGATAGCAACTGCAAGAGAATAAAAGAAGAGACAGGAGGAGGAGCAGCACCACCGGAGGCCAAACGACCGAACAAGAGAAAGGAAGAATCTGCGGACGCCTCGAAGGAGAATGACAAGGCGCCCAAGTCGGACTACATTCATGTAAGAGCTCGACGGGGTCAGGCCACAGACAGTCATAGCTTGGCCGAAAGAGTACGCGAATTGTGACTTGCGGGCGCTACATTCCCATCTCCTTTCGTCCGTATGCACGTCTCCTGATCTTTTCCCCCGGTTGCGTAGGTGAGAAGGGAGAGGATCAGCCAGCGGATGAAGTACCTCCAGGATTTGGTGCCCGGATGCAGCAAGATCACAGGGAAAGCGGGCATGCTAGATGAGATCATTAACTACGTTCAATCTCTCCAAAGACAAGTGGAGGTACGATATGAGCTACTTCGTCTGTTCCTCTCGAACATCAATAAACCGTAGCTCGGTCTTAACGTGGACTATCTTCGTTCTCCTGCGTCTTTCCGCAGTTCCTATCCATGAAGCTGGCTGCTGTGAATCCAATGATGGACATCAACATCGACAGCTTCTTCGGCGGCAGAGAGGTAATGGAACTTCATCCCCACATTTTCTTTAAGATGAAGCGACGACTTCTTAGTGGCTCTATGAATTCAAAGCGGCACATAAGAGTCAACAACTCTCGCAGCTTCTCGATCATTTGGATGCATTCGATCGATCTGAAGCGTGCATCCATACGAGTCTCTCGAACAAAAAAATTCCTGTTCTGACTTCCCCTGATGCCGGTGCAGATAAATCCGACCTGCAAATCGGGCATCATTCCCATGATCGGCATGTCGTCCGAGCTATTGGACCAGTCCTACCTTCAATTCGGCTCCTTGCAGCATGACATGTTCATGGATTCTTTGGATTTATTGCTTCGTCCGAACGTCAACCCGCCGGCGGCGGTTTCTGATACATCCCTCGGATCATGTTTGAATGTAACACCTCCGTTTACCACGTTCACAGCATTTAGATATGTAGAAATCTCTCCGATCACCTTAACAATATTGCTGCGGACATTTCAGGTCAATGGGTCTTCGGTTTGGAATACAAACCTGCAGAACGTGTACGGTGTGGAATTCCAGCTAGGAAGAGGGACAGCCCTCCCCTTTCAATCATTGCAAGGTAAAGATTCTCATCCTCTGCGAAGAACATCATGATGCATCGGATGACATCAAGAGAAGTGCTTCTGATAATTGAGGATCTCCACTTCCTATGCTTTAGTACTAGTAAAAAGCAATCCTGGCAAGCTACCGATTTGATCGTTTCCTACCAAAAATTTCTTGCGAGTTGATGCACGACCAAACTCGTTGCAGGTAATCTTTTACCTAACAATCTCAAGATGGAGATGTGATTGCTAATCCACCTCACTGGAGTTGGGAGTATTCCTACCATGCTCGGAAATGTATTCGTTCGCGCTGCAGCAATACGAATATTATGTATCATATTGACCATCATCGTGTTGGTGTACCTAATAAAAGGATTCGAACTGACTCAACATGTTTTGCATTTGATCCATGCTGCCGCGCCATGTCGGTCATATCAGCATGAACAGATAGCCGCTGCTTTACAACATGTTTCGAGTGCCTTGGCACTCTGACATCACCATCATCGACGTCCATTGCGATCAATTCACGCGGTCTCTGCTTTCGTTTATATGTATCTTCTAGCTTCTTCCGCCTTGCAGTAGTTGCTGCTAACACTTGACCCGAAAGGCCAGAACAAAACCACATTAACATCTCATGGCAGGAGCTCGGCACGACGAGCAAGCTTTTTTGTTCATGATCAGAGGCAAACAAGATCTTGTTTCTGCAGCCGATGTGAGATCAGCAACGCTGGAAATCCAAGAACTTGCAGGCTCTGAAGCATGGATAATAAGCCGAAGAGTTCTACCCTGCTCTGCCGTTCACTATTTCCAGTCTTTGCGAACATGATTTAGCTGGAGAAGCACTACCGCAGCATTCTGAGTAAAAGTTGTTCCAGGAGACCAACTAAAGTAGGCGATATTTCACGTTACACATCGACGAAAGTTGCATTCGGAACATGTGAAAATGGGACGTCTGAACTAATCGGGCAGTGCATGTCGTTAATCGGTCCCCGGTGGGCATGCGCAGTAGCTTTCCATGCATATGCTCACCACCTTTTCCGATGGGCCTCTCGGTTTCTTTGGGTCGCCATCCTTGGCTTTGGTTGCTGAAGAAGAAGATGGAGAGGACTCGATAAAGAGAGATACGTACATGGACTCATCCGCACAGAGGATGCATGTCCGGGTGCGCTCTCTCTCACACACACACACACACACTCTCTCTCTCTCTCTCTCTCTCTCTCTATTTATGTGCGTGTGTGTGTGTGTTAATTCTGTGGACAGTTGATGGGTCCATAACCGGATGGAGAGAGAGCGTGCGAACATTTGTCCTCTCAAGTCACCTTCACCGGAGAGGCATGCAGTCCTTTTGGAGGGTGGGTTGGAGCTTTCGGTCAAGGGATAGCGACTTGGCGAGGGAAAGAAATAATGGCGATGCGGCTTTCGCGGAGAGGCAGCGGCAGCCAAGGTAGATGCGATGGTATCTTCAGGAGGAAGCGTATCATCATCCTCCCTTTTACTTTTGACTCCGTTTACTTTTTACGACTGTCGACCACTTGCTTCCATTTCTTTATAGACTACACCGCAGATGCCAACACTCGCGTCAGATGCCTCTTTAAGTTCCGCTCCACAACAACTGTTTCTCTGCATCGACGACGAAAGGTCAACTTATCCAAATAAATGCGAATATTACAGGAAAGTTGTGCATCTCTCCTCCTACAAAAGCCACATGAACTGAACATGTTCATCAACAAAAAGGAAGACGCTTTCCGACCTTCTTTTTTCCTTTCAAGGGTTTGATTCGTTAGATCAATTGGGTGATTTGAGAAATCCCGGTTCATCTAGTTCGGGTTACGCATGCCATTGGCTATTTAGATCCGTGTCTAACGAAGCCTGGAGACAGTAAAAGATTATGGTATCTATATAGTGCCTCTCTCTTCCGTCCTCTTTCTCCCTCATCTTTTTATGTGAGAGAAATTTCCACCAACCAATAATGGAAGACGGAGAAGATGAAGCGCAGCGTCGTGGGATGATGAGTTGGAGCGCATCAGAAGCGGCCTCATCCGCAGGTGAAGAAGGTTTATGACGAGAGGCAAGCACGAGGCTTTGCCGTGCTAAGAGTCCATCATTGTCCCACTAATGGCAGCTCGATCGATCCTACACCACAGAATTAATCTCCGAAGACGAACCACTTTTCCTTGTGTGTCAGTCCATATCGCAAGAACAATCGATTGGATCATCTCGACGAATAGAGGTGGCAGGGAAGTCATCTAAGCTTTGTCGACAGCTTTGATTTGCCTTGGTTTCGGATTCTTACAGTGTATCCTTCACTGCACGCCTGGCTGGGTTCTTAAAATTAACTGGGCGAAGACAGATCGGTGTGCCGCAGTTGAATTAGACCACATGAGTCGTTCACAGGAGGACAAATAATCATCAGAAGAAGCCACTTAGCTGCGGTGCCTATCAACATACATGACAGACTGAAGCCCCCAAAAAACACGCCATCGTTGGTTAGCAGAGAAGCAAACCAAGGGCGATCCAGATTACTTCTTCTTCATCTCTGAGTAAAGAGAGAGAGAGAGAGAGACTGAAGTGGTCCAAGAACAGTCCCCCACCCCCCCCCACTTTCCCTGCAGCTTTATTAATGACCGGTGCTGCCTTACTACGACGGTAACAGTATTCACCGACACCACGCTGCAACACACTGAACCAATGAAGGACGCAGTTGAAGAAGAAGAAGAAGAAGAATCACTTAATAATACGAAGAAAAATACTGAATTGCTCCCTGTATTATTATAACTTCGATTTATCCATCCGACCCGATTCGACCGATCAAAGGCAATCTTCCGTAGATCGACGGCATTTATGCAACCGAAAGATAGTCTTCTACTCCTAATCCTCGACGATCGAAGGAACCAAATGATCTCACAGGCGGTGGATGCCACGTGTCGAAGCCGCAGGCAGAGAGATGTCATTCGAATACTGATGGTGATCGGCTTTTAGTGTGCCTGCTGACTTTTTTTGTGGTTGACGGGATGCACGAATTCCCTCGCAATCCCTCCGAAAATTAAATTCCCTTGGAAGAATGAGTCCGTCACATGCTGTGCTAAGGGTGCCGAAGAAGAATTCCAAGAAACATTTTGCCTAAGAATATGTGTTGGGTTTTGGATATACCAATCTTTGAATTCTATCAATATGCAGCGGAGGAAAGAATGAGATGCGAACCCCATCGCGAAGGGTTCGGATCAGCTGCTGATGTGTGTATATATATATATATATATATATATATAGCATGCAGACGACGAAGACTGCACTCATCCCCCCCTTGACGACGCCTGTTGTCGTTGGAATTCGATGGAAGAAACACTACGCGCGGCCAAGCAGCGCAGAAAGCGGAACAAATTCCACTTCCGGTTGAAGTTCTGGAAATCCACCCCGAGATCACCAAAACCTGCGGCCCCGTTACCTCAACCCCCACCAGAATCCCACCCACAATCGCCGACGCCTACTCAGACGGAACCTACTTCACGTTCACCTTCCTCTTCCTCGTCGCCGTCAGCATCGGGGAGATTCGATGAAGGACCTGAAGGACAACCACAACAAGGGACTTCTTCGCCGGGGAGACTCTCTCCGCCTTCCAGCCCATCGAGAGAAACTCCCGCTCCACCGGAATCAACTCAGGGAGTTTCTCAAACCCCATCATCAGCCAAGCCTGAAATGACCACCACGGAACCAAAGCCCCCGAGTCATCCGCAAGAAACCCAAGAGCCCCAGGAATCATATCCTGGGAAGCCATTGGAACCGCAATCAGAGTCCCCAAGCCATCAGCAAGAAACTCAACCCCAATCTTCCGAAGCTCAACCTCCAAAACCATCGGAGCTACAATCGAAATCCCCGAGTCATCAACAAGAAATCCAACAGCCTCAGGAATCCCATCCTCCCGGAGTCCAAGCTCCAGAAACATCGGAACCACAACCAACTCATCAGCAAGAAACCCAGCCTCAAGAATCTCATCCTCCTCCCCAAGGCCAAGTTCCAGAAACATTAGAACCACAACCAAAGTCCCCGAGTCATCAACAAGAAACCCAGCCCCAGGAATCCTCTTCTTCCCAAACCCAATCTCCAGACCTATTAGAATCACAACCAGAATTCCCAAGACATCAGCAAGAAACTCAGCCCCAGAAATCCCAATCTTCCGATGCTCAAGCCCAAGAACTATTGGAACTACAATCCAAGTCCCCGAGTCATCAACAAGAAATCCAACGACCCCAGGAATCCCATCCCCCCCAAGTCCAAGCTCCAGAACCATTGGAACCACAACCAAAGTCCCCGGCTCATCAGCAAGAATCCCAGCCTCAAGAATCTCAGCCTCCCCAAGTCCAAGTTCCAGAAGCACTAGAACCACAACCAAAGTCCCCAGTTCATCAACAAGAAACCCAGCCCCAGGAATCCTATCCTTCCCAAGTCCAATCTCTAGAGCTATTGGAACCACAACCAGGGTCCCCAAGACATCAGCAAGAAACTCGGCCCCAGGAATCTCAACCTTCCGAAGCCCAAGCTCCTGAATTGTTAGAACCACAACCAAAATCCCCAAGTCATCAGCAAGAAATCCAACCCCAGGTATCCCAACCTCCTGAAACACTAGAATCACAACCAAAGTTATCACCCCAGCAGCCCCAGGAATCCCAAACTCGAGAAATACAAAAATTACAACCAAAGTCACCACCCCAGCAGTCTCAGGAATCCCAACCTTCTCAAGCCCAAGCTCCGTTACAAATGGAACCGAAACAAGAAAAACTAGATACAGATGTCGAGAAAAAGGAAATTGCAGAACCCTCCAAACCTGCACAGCAAACTCTAATGGAGGAAAAACCTAGACAGGATGTCGAAGATAACACAAAAGAAGATACTGAAATCACAAAAGAGATGAGTCATGGGAGCCAAGAATCAGAAGAAAGGATCAAAGACCAACCAAAGCCCCCATATACTAGGGAACCTGATGGTCTCAGAGGAAAACGGCACGCTACGTCGGTGGCCGATATCCCACGGGCCTCAGCAATCCTCGGAGGAGATGATTTCCAAAAGGAGAGCGAGGGTGAGGATGTCCGGAAGCTGAATATTAGGCACTCACTCCATGCGGGGAGTGATCACGCAACAAGCATGATAACCTTAGCCGGTGAGAATGAAGGTGCGTCCATGTACATCGGACGCAAGATATCACGAAAGGCAGGTATTCAGAAAGAGCATCAGATGGACGAGCACCCGAGTGCAGAAGAAGGCGACGGTAAGAACGAAAGATCTCATCAGACGAGCAATGAAGTTGCATCAATCACAGGAGTGAATAGCAATGTGCAGAGCGTCAACAACTCGCTACTTCGTGAAAGCTCCTGCAGCCAAGAGGATCCAGGAGTTCACTTCTTCTTTTCCATCAAAACCAACTACGCCCGTTAAATCGAAGATTGAGATAGGATCAAGAAGGGATGTATGTACCAGAGAAACCTTCTCTGGTACACAGAGGAGGGCAGAGCAAGCAGAAGAAACGATTTGATTAGCTATGGTTGTCATCGATATAGCTCTGATGAGACAACAACAAAATAAAAACAAGGCCTATGGCCAACCAAGCTGACATCTATAAACAAGATCTATAAATTCTCTAGCTACAACATATCATGACACGGCATGAGCGCAAATGGTCATCCTTGCACTTTGATTGGCGACGTTAAGAGGTTCATGATATCCAGTTTGGATTGCGAAGGCAATTATTTGTACCACGTATACATGAGGCTTAATGATTTCTAACAAAGCAATTACTTGTACCACCAACTAGGATAATGTATTATCATACATTGAGGCTCTTCGAATAATACTCATGAGTCAAGTTCCTTGATCAGCCACAAAAAAAGGAAAGATTTGACTTACAACAAATGTTCTTCAGGCGATGATGAGAATGAATCACTCGGAAGGTGATTCTACTTGTAGGTGGTCGATCAGGGAAATGCACAAGAGCACATTACACACGCATGTGTGCGAAGATTAGCATTTGATGAAAACGATCACTCCTCCTGTGAGTGTTTCTGAACGCGAAAAAAGCCAGCAACCAAAGTTCCTCGGTGAAGAATATCAAGTCGAATACTGAGGAGAGGTAAATATTTCGGAGAAAACAGAGGAGGAGCCGTGTACCTTCATTCACATGCTGGCTTAGTGTCGAAGCTCGTCAAGCAAATTGCAAATGCCTGGAACGCGGAGAGTGGATATCGATAATCCATGGTGAAAATGTCCTTTCCTATTTTCCCAAACTGGAGAATGACTTTTTCTTGCTCTGCATGGGAAACGTGGTGGGAAGGATCCACGGCAGCCACGAGCTGGAAATTCTTGACGGAAGCCACCGTGACTCGCCCTCTGAAGTTCAAGCACCAGCACTGAAGCTGCTCGTGCCATCTCGGGGCTTTATTCTTTAGCATGAGTGGCGCCCCATTGGTCTGGACAGGTGCCCGTGATTCGGTGAGACTGGTGGAAGAAAAATCGATCACAGGTTCCTTGCCCTTTGCAACTGCTAAGCTGGGGAGCTGTTCGCTGATGGAGTGAATGAAACTGGTGGGAAATGGGACGCTCCCCCCTTCCTGGATGGAGGAGACGGGAACAGAGTGCATGGTGCACTGAATTCTTCTTGGCCCTCGAGTTCGCAGGACATTGAGTTCGTAAGCGATGGTAGCGATGTTGTAATTGCCAGCGGGCACTCTTGGTGAAACTTGCTTGGAATGGATCCGTCGGGTTGATCGGCTGCCGGAAGAGACCGCAGCATCACAAGGAGGCTGGCTGTCATAAACTGTAAACTTGGTTCCCAGAAAGTTCGACCTGGTTGACATCCAAAAACACAAAAGGTCCATCAGAGATCAACATAACACGATTCAGAGGAAAGCAGAGGGCATCACTTGCCTCACTTTTCCAACATAGCTACTGCTAGCTCGAGAGAAATCATCGGCGGTCAGTGAAATCACAAAATCGGTGCTCGTTGCACGTCTGATCTTGCGGGCTGCTAGCAAAAGCTTGTCGTTCTGTCCATGCAGTGCTGCGATCATTAGAAGAATTGTCACCAACATTAGCAAGCAACAAACGTCCTCGCTGAAAATTGAGATCACTGGCAACCACATTTGTTTCACGCGAATGTGTTTATAGAATAATCAACAGAGACGGCTTAAATCAAAATGATAACTACGAGAGATGCAGGCGCGATCGGGGTTCGCATATGAACATCATGTCCATAGCTATGCAAAGCAGCGGTGCCAACACCCTGCTCGATCGCCCACCCATGGAACAGTAGGATAGCTGATGTGATACTTAGCTTGCTCTGGTTCCAAAATACTGGTAAACAAAGCATTCAAGAACCGATGGAAGCAACTTTGTAGCAGTGACAGATTGCAGAAGATTCACAAGTCACAACTCGGCTCCAAAAAACGAAGCAAGAGATGTAACGAAAGCAAGCATGGAACCGGAGAAGGTTACTTACATGGGCTGAGACCCAAGTACAGGCGGAAGGTGGATGTCGCTCGCTCCCTTCTGATGAAGCATTGAATTGGATTATCTCGTGGCCCAGGCTAATCTCAAGCGAAAACCCAAAAATTAGAAAGGAAACCAAGAGATAACGATCTATAGTCCACAGGCCATTGCAAACCCATCGCAAGCACGATGCGATCTGAGCCCGAGAGGGATAACAGACGAGGAACTCGGAGAAAAAAAGGCAACCTGCTTAAGGGAGATGGGGAAGGTGATCCGGCCGCATTGCTGGGGGGGTTTGACCACTTCCTTCGTGATGTCCCGCCACGAATGGCACACGGCCGCGCACGCCAGCACGTGCCTCCTCGCCGGCCACGACACCTCGCTTTCCTCCACCCGCCGGATGACGTCCAGCAGCAGCTCAGGAGGCAGGTTCGCCCACCTACCCTGCTGCTGCTGCTGGTGCCGCTGCTCCAGATCCCGTTGATGGGACCAAGGGTGCTGATCACATCCACGGCCATGCCCGGTCATCGTCCCTTCCGGGGCTCCTCCTCCTCTGCCCCCTCTCCTAGACATGCTCCCCATCCCGTCCCTCATCTCCTTCAGCTCACGGACGAGGCTCTTAAAAGACATTTCGACCACCCTTTCGTGACACCAAGATCCAAAAGTTGTGGGGCTCGTGGGATCAGGAGAAAACGGGCGAAGCTTGGTTTGAAGATCTATAAGATTCTGAGAAACTCAAAAACAAGAAAGCGCTTATAATATAAATCTCCCTCTCTCTCTCTCTC